ACTCAAAGTCCAATTCTCTATACACATGCGAAGCTGTAAATCCTAAGGCGACTGATTACATGATTTAGTAAACAGGTTATATTATATAATGCAATTAAAGCTGGGCTCCGTGGCGCCACCTACAGGCCACTTATGTGAAGGGAGCTGGTAAGGAGATGGTTTTTGGTCCAGGCCCTGCGCTGTAGGAAAATGAAGGGGGTTGAGCCAGACTTAAAGCTGCTGCTCTGGAGGGAGAGGTTGAAGCCAGCCAGGGTACTAATGCAGCCTTTTGCTCCCTCCCGCTGAGTTCACTATGTTATTTCAGCCTCCTGCAAATCTGTCTAGACTTTAGAACCTGGGCCTGGGCAGCTGCTCAGAGGAGCCAGTCTGGGGTTTAGGGAGTGGGGGTAAGCAAGCACCTGAGGGCTTCTGGATGGGGCACCCACGAGGGCTGCTGGCTCTCTGGCCTCAGGGGTCTCCTTCCCGTGCCATCTCCTTTGGAATGAAGCGACAATCCAACTATTTCAGTCAGTTCAGCAAGGCATGTGCTTAGTGCTAACTATGAGCAAAGAGCTTCAAGATATTCTGGTGAAATCCCTCATTTTGCAGTGAGAGGAAAAGTCACTTGTACGGGGCACAGATAAGTGATAGGGCTGGGATGGAATCCAGATTTTCTGACCCTAAACATAGGCTCTGGACCCCAGGTGTTTACAGAGGAGGAAGTGGGGGGTCCACACAGGCCATGGGCCTTCCACAGCTTCTACTTGTAAGGAAAGGGAAGGAAACTAATGGAAATACGGCTTGTGTGTGAAAGGACACAGAGGGGACTCCTAGGGGGCCTCTGCAGTGTCTCTTAGCTGTTCTGTGGGGAAGGGGGGGGGAAATAGAGGGAAAAGGAAGGTGAATGCTCCCTCCCCCCACCCTTCTGTCTGCTCTGCGGATGAATCAGGTTCTCGGGCCTCCAGGATTCTAGCTTCTCCAAAGAGTTCATCTAAGAGTGGGTAACATCACAGAAATCCAGTACGGATAGGAGAGGGGACTTAGTACTTCCCCCACCTCCAGAGAAACGACCAGAAAGGGAAGGTGGGGGAGAAGAAAGCCTATCAGGGTCCAGCCAAGAGGCTGGGACTATCCCCGCCACCACCCCTGCCAACCGTCCACCCAGCCCGAGGTGGGTGGGACAGTGAGAGCCCCAGGAAGTTGCTCCCTTCCCTCCTCTCCCACCTTGGTGCCAGGTCCAGTGTAGCCCCAGCCAGGGTCAAGAGGGCCAGAACAAATGCTGTGGGGCCACCTGGCCAGAGAGTTCCCAATTAGACTTTGTTTCTCATCCTTCAGACCCTGAGCCCCCAACCCAGGCACCCTGGCCCAATTACTGGCGGGCAGCATTAACCCCTTGGTGCCCCAGGCCGTTAATGGAATGTTAATTGGTCTAATGGGCTTCTTGTCAACAAGCCCTAATGAGCTCCTTCCTAACGAGCTTGGTAGTTTTTTCTAAGCCTGTTTGTCAACACACTGAAGTTTGAGCTGCAGACTGAGGCCTCCCTTTGCAGGTGGGGGAGGATTCAGGGGGAGGTGGTGGCTCTAGGGATGATTCCCTACCTCCTAAAGGGATGTCCTTTTATGCCCCTCATCCACCCCCAACGCCACACGCACTGTCTCACCCGGGAGCATGGCATTTTAACCTCCTTTTGATGATAATATCCGTGACACAAATGATTTCTTCTTGGATATCACTGTGGGTTGATTGTTACATAGGTTTTTCTCCTCCCAGTTGTCATTTAATAAAGGTTTTCAGTATTAAAATGTCGTGGGAAATTTCTCGGTGGTAAATTGTTCCTCCTGTGTCCTCCATTTCAGCCTTGGCCGTGCTCCTGCAAGGCCCCGGTGTCTGGTAACAGCTCTGGGGCTCTGGACAGGGCGGAGCAGCCTCTCCAAGCCACTGACCACGCTCAGAAGCCCTGGGCTGCGTTTGCTGGAGCTCAGCCCTGCTGCCCCTTCCACCTCCCAAAGAAAGTGCAAAAGGGGGGCAGGTGTCCCAAAGGCTCAGCAGGAAACCTGCTCAAGGAGATCCCCTCACAGACACCCTGCCCCCATCCACACTCCAGCCCTGATGTTTCAACCCAGCCCCAGTCGAAATAACCAGCCCCCCACATTTCTCTCCAGGATAGTTCCACATGGTTCCTCAGTTCTCCCCCAAAGTTTAACTGATAGATCTGGAGTTCCAAAAGGAAGGGGCAGTGGGTGTGCAGGTGCAGGGGTGTTTAGAAAGGAGCCGCCTTGGTCTCCTGGAGATGGGCATGGGTCTCCCCCAGCATCAGGTTACCAGAGGCTTCTGTGCCTGAGTGAACAGAGATGGAAACTTAAGCCCCAGATGAAAAGGCCTCCTGTTCTTCTGCAGGAGAAGCCCCCAGAGGGCAGTGGGGCAGTGGCCTAGTGGCCTATGATGACCCTGGACAGGAGGGGGAGGGGCGAGGGCCATCTGGATCCTCAAAAAATTGTTTCTGTCCTCCGACCCAAGCAGGTCTGCCCCCTGCTTCATGGCCCAACAGGATCTAGACTGAGAAAACCTCCACTCAGCCTCAAGAGCAGTTGTTTGTGGGTGCAGACCACTCTCAACCGTCTCTCCTTACCCCTAGGGCAAGCAGCCATCCTGCTGTTGCAAATATTTCTAGGATTCTAGGGCAGGGACTCAAAAATGACCCCACCTCCCATTCATTGCCCAGGGAACAAAAGAAGGCAGATTAAAGACTCGTCTGTTAGCCCAACGCCTCCTCATGAAGCTTCCTTTGCTTTGCCTTCACTATGACTTTCTCATCCTTGGCACAAGGCTACCAAAAGACTCACACCCCAGATTAAAGAAGCATTTCCCCTAAGATGGGAAAAAAATCTGCCCAGGCAGCTCCCACCCCAGACTCTACCCCCAAGCACCCTCTCCCGGATGCTGCTGGTACTACAGCCTCGCGGTGGTTCCCTTTCCCTGCCTAGGAGCATCTGAGATCTGGCTCCTGGGAGAGGGTTCAGAAGGCAGGTACTTAAGTCCCATCCAAATTTACCTCACTGGCCAGAGTTCCAGGAAAGGCTGAGCCTAACATACTCCTGAATATCCCTATTGCCTTTGTTTTCTTAGGGTTCCAAAGTGAGAGTCCACATCTATTTTAATATATCAAAAGTCTTACTTCTGGAAGTTCTTTCTAATGAGTCAAGGACTCTGAATCCCCTTTTCTTTTTTCTCTGGAAACCCCTTCACTCTGCTATTGCCTTCCTTGGGTGTTTACCACCAACCAGATGAAGATCCAGCCATGAAAACAGATCTTGGTTCCCCTCAGGGCTCCCTACTGCCCCTTTGAGGAAATACTGCTTGGATCTCCTGCAGCTGAATGTGTGTGAGCTAAACCCTGAGCTGCTCAGACCTCCTGGCCGCCCAGTTTTTGAAGTGAGGCCGGGTGAGCGAGGTGAAGGTAGCCAGGATGAACCTGCTCCCTGCTGTCAAGCTGCAGAGCAGGCAAAGCCTCCTGTCTCCCCGCCACCCCAGGCACCTCCAGCCTTCCTTTCACTTTCTTCTCTCCCCAGGGACTCTCCCTTCACTCTGCCAACAAGGCTCCTTGGAGAGAGGATCTTTCCTCCTTTCATCCATCTTCCCACACTCCCTGGCAGAGTGCTTTGCCCGTAGTTGACACCTGGAAAACATTTGTTTGAGTGAATGAATACCTGAATTTCCAGTGCTTTCCCATGAGCACTACAGGTCAGAGCAAACCGGGTAGTTCAGACTCAGGTCAGGCCAGAGCTGATCTTTCTTCTTCTTACTGAAAAAGAACCAAAACAACATTACACACACACAGAGAGAGAGAGAGAGCCCGGGAGACCCACCCTTTTACTTAGGCAACTCAAAAACATACTCAAACCCCACAGACTTCAGTTGGGTGAACATTTCAGGAGGTCCTGGGTGGGGGAGGGGCACCAGGCATGCAGAGGATGGAGCTGGGCAAGCTCCCCCATTCAATTTCCTGGCTCATCAGCACCCTCCACCCAGAAGGAGGACAGGCCCCGGTCCCCTCAGCGCTTCTCAGGAGGTACCATGCCATGCCATGGACAGGCCTATGTCCAGCAACTAGCTTGTGGTTTCCAGCTCTAAATACTTCGGGGCCTCTATGGTCACTCTACAGGCCTTGAGACCCAGTGGAGCAAACCCCTACTGGTGATTGGGGGAGGGGGCAATGCTGGGAACCATGAGTCTGAAGATTTGTGTTCCATCCCTGCTTCACTAGTCCTGTCCCCTGTCCTGTCCCAACATGCACACACACACACACACACACACATCACTGCTCTTGGCCTCTCCTGTCTGAGGCGGCCTGACCTCCTGGCTCTGACATGTCTTCTGGGCCACATGCCTGACTCTGTATTGAACACAGGTCACAAGCACATACCTAGACACACCCAGGCCCTCCTGTGCCTCTTCCCTGCTCTGAAGACCCCCAAATGGTCACCCTCCAGGCTGGGGGGCCCAGCACTCCACATCCATTTCCACCACGAGGGGGTGTCATAGGCACTGCTGGTGCATGGAGACCCTGGGGCCAAAGAGGTGGGATAGGAACTGGGAGGACAGAACTGGGAGGACAGAACTGGGAGGACAGACTTGAGAGTGCTGATGGGAGCTCAGGGAGAACCCAGGAAAGGGAAAGTATCCTTGTCTTGTGGGGTACCGAATGGTTTTCAATTCCCATGTGCTGCCAGGGGTTGACCCCCCTCTTCCACCTATCCCCGATCAGAACACAGGCTGAGCAAAGTGTGCAGGTGGTGTTATATATGATTTGAATATTACTTTTTTCAAGCCAAAATAGTACAGCAAATTCCTCCCCACCCTGGCTTTCCCCCATAGCCCTAATTTGTTCCCCTAAGGGCCTCCAGACCTTGCTGTATCCCTCAATCCCAGGGACCTCGCTTGAGAAAATGTCAAGCCGACTGGTCCCCAGGACTCCCCGTGCTCAGCTTATTAATGTGATGCCCCCTTTCTCCTGCCACAGATCCTCGATGTGAATCAACCCCATGATGCAACATGCCTCCCCAGCCCCCGCTCTGACGATGATGGCCACGCAGAATGTCCCGCCCCCACCCTACCAGGACAGCCCACAGGTGAGTGCCAACTGGCCCCACAGGGTGCAGGCCTTTCCCAGCAGGGTGGGAACAGCTGTGTGTTGGCTGCCCCCTGGACTGTCAGGCCTGAGAGGCCTCTGGGGGTCATTACATTTGACAAAACACCAGTTCAGACCCTACTTGGGCAACTGTCGCTGCCTAGGAGCCTAGTCCCAGGCCTGCCCACCATACCCTGCTTCACAGGTAGAGCAGACATCAGCCAAATTCACGGAGCCCCTGCTCCTTCAGAAAGATTGAGGTGCAGGTAAATTGAGTCTGCCTGGGTATGTCGAGGGGAAGCTTCTGAATTCGAGGTTCCCTCATAGTACATCCCTGGCTCACTGGTCACTGGAGGCCCCTTGCCAATCCTTCCCTGCCTGCCTGTTGGGAGACTCTCCCTGCTCTTCAGGACTCCAATTGGCTTCTAACCAGGGAAAGGCCAGGACTATTTTCTACATCTCTAGCCCCTTCTGTGTGGTTCCCAGTTTCCATCCCTCAGCTCAGACCCGGCAGTTCCCCGCAAGTTCTCCTGAGACTCCCACTCCCCCTGACTCTATCTTCCTAGTGGCTCTTCTGGAAGCCTGGCCCAGTTTCCCCCATGTGCATGTCCCATTACTCCTGGCCTGAGACTCCACATTGGTTACCGGCTTTGCTTTCACAGAAGCCTCCAGCCTCCAACCTTTTGCCTTTACCCTCTCCTGCTCTCCACTCTGGTCACCCAAGTCACTATTAATCCCATTGTTATTTATCAAGCAGCTGTCATGCCCAGTGCAGCCAGCTAGCCTATTCATCCCTTCATTTAACTAGCGGGCAGTGAGCCCTACTGTGTGCTAGGCAATCTCACTGTCCAGCAACCCTCTTGTCTCACCCCTACTCCCCTGAGCCTCACTGTTAGCATTTCACACACAGCCCTTCTCATGCACCCCAGAGGGTCTGTGAAAGAATATTGAGAGGCGGACAGACCCAGATGGGCAGATTTTTGCTCACACTAGGTGAGCCCTGCTACCTCAGTCTTGGGTGAGGATATAATGACCGCCCTATCTCCTCTTCTTATCCCTGAGAAATGACCACTTTGCAGTGTCCAGAGTGGGGAGTACCAACCATTCCTCTCTCCTGAGAGTCCCAAAGTCTCATCATCACCAACCTTCAAACATCCCTTACCCCTAACCCTGTTCCCACATATTAACACCTTCCCAGCCTAACCTCTGATTCAGCGACCCCTCTCTCTGTGTGAGTAGCATTCCACGAGTTACCACAGGGTCAGCCTTGGCACTTACACAGCTCCTCTGTTCAAAAGCTTCTGGACAGGCAATGTCATGTCAGGGCCTTTCCTTTTATGTTCCAGACTCCAGGGATGAAGTACAGAGGAGGCCTGGACCGGGGAGATTCAGGAACTGGGGGCCATAAGGAGGCCAAGCATCATCCTTGCTCAGTAGACACAGACCCATTCAGATTCAGTCAGTGTGAGGGACCCGGTTTTTAATAAGATTTAGGAAATTTGCTTCCATTTCCTTTATACCTGGATACTGCTCTCCAAACTTCACAAAGGGCTGGGGGGGGTGGGGGGTGGAGATAGGGACACTTAGGTAGTTAGCAGGTGGTGGGTGCAAAGGCCCATACCCCCATACCTAAGGCTCAGGGACATACTAGGATAGGACCAAGAGGTCAGAGAGCACCAGACTGGCACAGCTGGCAGTGGCTTCTCCCCTCTCAGCCTTCCACCCCAAACCCCCTGCTTTGCCTGTCTGGGCAGCTGGGAGAAGTTTGGGTTTGGTGGGGATTAGCAGGAAAGCTTCAGCAAGGGCCTGTGTTGTCCAAGAATGCAGAGCCTAATTTAATTCTCAGCACAGGGCCTCCCTAGTGGCACAAGGGATTAAGATGCAACCTATGGAGCTATCCGCAGCCACAGCAGCATGAGTTTGATTCCCAGCCAGCCAGGGAACAACCCACATGGCACAGCAGACCTCTCCTGGCTCCGCCACTGCTCCCCTCAGCAGTGTACTTCGGTCAATCTGCCTGTTCTGTTCCTCACTGTCTCTGGTGAATTTTCTCACCCCCCCCCACACCTCTGGCCTGTACCCCAGTTTTTGTATGCATGAATAAATAAATCTTTAAAAAAAATAATTCTCAGCATACAGCTGAGATGAACACATCCCAGCTGTCAAGGGAGGTGCTGCAGGCGGGGCTGCAGGCCCCACCCTGGAAGACCCCACTAAGTTCCTCTAGTTTTGAGGGGAGGAAGGGCAGCTCCAATTCCCCATCTAGGGCCTCAGAGTACAAGCCAGATACAGTCGCAAGACCCTCCTTTCTGAGGAGCCAGGACTTCACGGCCAAAAACATTCATATTCACAGCCAAGGAACAATCTCCTTGTGAAGCCAGAGAAGAACCAGACAGGAAGTCAGACAGGAAGTCTCAGTGTTGTGTGGGTCTGGGGTCTCTTTGGCCTTGCCTAGGCCTCTCGGCTCTGGCTAGATTGTCATGGGCCCTCCCTAAGCCTAGCTGGTTCCCAAGGAATCTGAACAGGATAGGGCAGGGGTCGGGGAGGAGTCAGGGCAGGCATAGGAGGGGTGGGGTGGAAGAGGTGGGGGATCCCCAGAACAACTTCTGACTCATGGCAGAAAGGCTGCATGCTTCAGGGAATACTGGCCAGTTGGATTTGGGGAATCTTCTCTGCATTCTCTGGGGGCTTCTAGGGGCGACTCCTGCATGGGAATGGCTCGTCCACATGAAGTTCCTGCTGGGGAACCTGCTCTGATCCTCCTGCCATCTCCCCTTCTAAGAGATCCAGCCCGGCTTTCAGGGGATGCCCTGTCCCACTGTCCTCCTACTGCTTATTATCCACAAGACGCAAATGCTCTCTGATCGTGTCTGTGGGAAAGCCTGGCCTCCGTGTCAGGCACACAGAGGAATCGGGGAAAGATTCCCCACGCACGTCCTCCTCATTCCTTCAGGTCTGATCTCATTCTTAGGGACCCTGCCCGACTCGTTTCCTCCAGGCCTGGACAGCTGAGTATGTCTCTCTATCACCTCCTCAGAAACCCAGTTTCCTCCACAGGCAAGAAATGGACAGTCTCGGAACCAAAGCCCCCAAAATAAAAAAGGAATGGAGAAGCAGAGCCCTTCCTTTGAGACCTAGGCAATCGTTTTAATAATGTTCCCGTTGTGCTAAGGGCTAGCAATACTGAGCATAATCTATTCAAATGCACAGGAGAATCTCACTTTGGAAAATTAGGAATCTGCATTAAAAAAATTCCCAAGCCCCGGACCATCTTTATAATAAATTAGAAAAATTTTTTTTCAAGGCAAGTTCTTAACTTGGCAATTTCATTTTTTGAAGTTTGGGGAATAAAGTTATTAAAAATGGGGGAGGCTTTTTTCCCTCCCACTTTAGCAGAGCAGCATCAATGGTCATGGCCTTATGCTATTTGGGCCCAAGCCAAGTGGTATGATGGCCAAGCAGCTTCTGGCCCCTCAGTTCTGTTTCATTTGGTTCATCTTGGGGAAATTCCATGATTGCTTGTAAGGATGGCATTCTGTTTATTATGCACCAAAGACAAGCTGTAAGTTTAGAAAGTGCAAAATCAACAACCCACTGGAACTCTTCATGGAGCCTACCTCCTCCTTCCGGAGGCTTCCTGTTGCATTCTGTCAGAGCAGCAGCGCCCTCTATTGCCCAACCACGGTACCTCAACTCCAGCATGCTGTGCCTGAGCAGCCTTGATCCAGACCCTCTCTTTATGCCCTGAGAGGCAGCGGTGAGTACCACTGATGGTAGAGTCCTACCAAGATTGTTTAATGAAAACACTGTTTCCAGGGAGATCCGGATCTTAAATAGGTGTGTGGTCCCTCCTTTTACAATTTTGTGCTGATTCCTGTATTCCTTTCCTTCCCTTCTGCATCCCACCCTGGCCATCTGTCACCTGTACTTTCAAAACCCCCTCTTCTCACTGTCCCATGCCCCCACTGATCTCAAGGGAACCCATGTTCTCAACCCCTGCTCCCTGTCCCAAACATGCCTAGAACCCCAGCAAGTGTCACTCCAGACTCCCTCCCAGAATTTTCTTGGTCACACCACTCCCGCTCTCTCCTTCTAGATGTAAACCCCTCGCTCATGTCATCTCTCTTCACCTCGGAAATGTCATTCAAGGTCTGCATCTCCTGTGGCACTCCGTGTGTTTCATTGCCCACCAGGCAAAGTTCCTTGTGTGGCTTCCCTAGCAGTTTCAGGGAACCAGCCATTCCCAGCTCCTCCACCCTCACCTTCCTCACATGCAAACACCTCTTGCTATCACCAGCCCCTCCCCTCCTCCTCAAACATAGATCCAGAGCTGTGGTTCCACAGATATCTTTGCCCTTGGCTTATAAGCAAGACAAATATTTCATCTGTTCTATTTATGTATGTATTCAGTGCTTAGTATTCTTCTGTCTGCATGTGCCCAGCCTGTCGGGCTACATGAGCATTTGATTAGAAAGCAGAAATCCTCATGGAGTCAAGTCTCACCTATGAACATGGATACTCAGTGAACAGTTAGGGCCAAACTGACCTGCAGCTAGCTCGGTGCTTACATAGCGTGACTTAAAGATGAGTGACAATCAAAGAGTCTTGGCAAATCACCAAGGATGCAGCCTCATGATTGACCAGAGGGAGGCAAGACAGGCAACATCTGAACTCTTGGTTCGGCCAGGCTGGGACGCTTGCTTGAAGAGGAAGCCAAGCCTTTCTTGGGACCCTTTGCCCAAAGCTACATTCTCTGTCCCCACAACCCTCGGAGCCAGGAGAGTGGGACTCCAGACCCCAAGAAACTGTACCTGCCGACTTGGGGTCAAGGTGACGCTATCTTAGCTGCCCTGTAAGAGGAAGGCTAAATGGAGCCAGGCAGGTGGGGGTGGTGGGGGGAGACTGGTCTCTCTTGTCCCTCTGAGTACCTCGTTTCCCTCCCTACCCCAGCCCCTTAGTCCCTCTCTGGACCAAGCACGCATCCTGGGAAAGCTGGATGGG